TGACTGTCTGACTGATTTATTTATTGACTGTTTTTTTTTTCTTTTAGATTACGGCTGTGATGAGGAGGAAGTCTTCTGACCAGGGTCAGGGTGAGGTCATCTAAACGTTGGTTGTCACTGGTTACTGGTTTGTCACTGGTTACTGGTTTGTCACTGGTTACTGGTTTGTTACTGGTTTGTCACTGGTTTGTCTGCTTTTATGGTTGAACTTTTTTGTTTGTTTCACTTTGATGTTAAAAAACATTCCATCAAAATAAAGTTTTTTAAAAAAAGATCAAAGAGTGAAGGTCAGAAGGTCATCCTGGTCTGAGGCAGAGCCTGACAGGTCACATGAACATGTGGGCGTGGTCAGGTGACTGACACTGGTCATGTGACAACCTGTAAAACAGCTGAGGAGTCTGAGCTCAAACACTGGGACCAACCGTCACCACAGCGCCACCAGGTGGAACTATGGAAATGAGCCAGGTCCAGTCAAGTCCACTGTACACCATGCACCACCAGGGGAAATACCATGTGATACAACAGTCCATCAGAATGAGTAACATTCAAATCCAGCAGTACAGCAGCCTGACCCTGACCCTGACCCTGACCCTGACCTTGACCTTGATCAAGGTAATTATTGACCTTTATCACATTCTATAATGAGGTAGTAAAACAGCCGGTACACAAACATACCGAGTATGTGTATGACTCACATAATCCTAATGTCCACTAGAGGGAGCCCGTGTCCCGTCAAAGATCCATGGGGTCAAAGACTGTTGTCAGGTTTATATTTGTAGTAGTATCATGTGTTGGTCAAAGTAAACAGTAAAAATTTAAAACAACACAAACTCACCCCCCACCCCCTACACATCGGTGACGTCATGTTGGATGTGTTTACTTTTCTTCTTCTTGGTCCTCGTTATTCGCTGTGAAAAGCTGATGTTATTGTTCAATAGAGTCGACGTCGTTCAGATGGGGGCGGGGCTGAACACAACGTTGGGTCGTGTGTGACCTCACGAATGTCGTCTCACTTCATTTCCCAGCAGTCTCCGCGCCACGGAGTCATTTCCGGAAGAGAAGGCGAAGCAGGTTCTCGGCGTCTGAAGGTAAAAGATGAAGTTGATGAAAATGTCTGATTCAGATGAAATGACGTGACGTGTTCAGTGTCAGATTACTGTCCACGACGTCACCTGTCTGTTTCCGGCCTTCTGTGGGAGACCAAGTTTTTGTTAACACGCTAACGGCTAGCGTTACAGAACTAGTTAGCATGTTAACGTACCTTTTACCGTGTGAACTAGTTCTGTGACAGCGTTAGCCCGGGATCCGTATCTTTGAGATACGTTGAGAAGGTGGGTGTGTGTTCCAGGGTGAGGTTCCTCACACTGCTGTGTTTGTGAGGACGGAAAGCCAAACTCACACCTGTACCGATCTGACCAATCAAATGTCGGAGCAAAACCACGTGGTAATGAATTCATAGAGTTTTCCACCTTTATATGTGTCGATGACGTCAAAGACGGTTCAGTCCTCTGATCTGGACTCTAACGAACTCAGTGATGGACGTTCTTAAGTTAACAGTGATGCACAACCACCTACTGACCACCAGGTGTGATGTGGCCTGACCGTACTGACCTGAGTGGTATGGAGGACTGAAAGTGCCAACATGAAATAAAGAAATTCCTTTGATAAAGAAACATTTAACATGGATGTCCCACCGATATTATCGCACATGGCTAATATTGAATGATTTCTCAGTCATTGACCAGGGGTCAGTCTAGACCAGGACTCAGTCTAGACCAGGACTCAGTCTAGACCAGGGGTCACTGACCTTTATGAAACTCACAGCTACTGGTTTGATACAGACTTCACCAACAACAAGGTCATAGTAGTAGTTAGTTGTGGGACAGACAGGGGCACACACACACACACACACACACACACTCTTTGTTGTGAAATATTTCTGCTGTGAAACTGTTTTTAGGATGAAGAGCAGAACCGATGAGGAAGAGTACTGGAACAGTTCCAAGTTCAAAGCCTTTACCTTTGACGATGACGAGGACGAACTCAGCACGGTGAGAACGTCTGTCTGCCGTGACATCGTTCCAGGTCACGGGGAGGGAGGGGCTCTCTGACCCTGTGGGCGTGTCTTTCAGCTGCAGGAGTCCAAGCGGGCGGTGGACAGCATCAGTGGGCTGGTGGGCGGAGACGAGGACGAGGACCAGGTGGAGATAGTGGGCTGGGGCGGGGAGCCCGTGGACAGTACGTCATCATCGCCACATCATGATGACATCATCACTGAGATGCTAATCAACCATTGGCTGCTGTCTTTGAGGCTTGCCGTTTTTCTACAGGCATTGTGTGGTCGGTGAGAGAGACGGCGGCATCGACCAATCAGAGGCCAGAGAGAGAGTCCACCCCCCAGACGAACACTGGTCCCTCCCAAAAAAGCAGGAGCCAATCAGTATACTCACTGAGCTCCCTCTTTAGAGGTGATGTCATCGTCCTTATCTTTAGTGAGTCATCAGGTCACATGACTCTCAGCTTGACCTCAGCATTGGTGTCTCCACAGGAAAGAACAGGGGAGACAACTTCACCATCGGCGCTGAGGGTGAGTGGGTGAGAGGGAGAGAGGGAGAGAGGGTGAGAGGGTGAGTGGGTGAGAGGGTGAGTGGGTGAGAGGGTGAGTGGGTGAGAGGGAGAGAGGGAGAGAGGGTGAGAGGGTGAGTGGGTGAGAGGGAGAGAGGGAGAGAGGGTGAGAGGGTGAGTGGGTGAGAGGGAGAGAGGGAGAGAGGGTGAGAGGGTGAGTGGGTGAGAGGGTGAGTGGGTGAGGGAGAGGGTGAGAGGGTGAGGGAGACAGGGAGAGGGTGAAGTAGCACTGCAGATTTAACACAAATGTGTTTCTGTGAGTACACGTTTGCAAATATACTGTACTTGAAGTTACTGCAGTAGTACTACAGAGACAGTCAGAGAGACGACAGATGAAACTTCTTTTGGTTGTGATGTAATAGGACACCTTGAAGGTCATGTGATTTTGACAGTAATGATGTCATCGTTGTGTTTTAGCGCTGAGCGACTCCACGACCGGACGACTCTTCGCTCCAGAGCTGCGTAAACCTAAGTCTGAATACAAGGTGAGATCAACGACCTGATCACCTGATCGATCACCTGATCGATCACCTGATCGATCACCTGATCGATCACCTGATCGATCACCTGATCACTGCTGATTTCTCACGCTTATGTCACGATGATGTCAGGAGCTGCAGAGGGATTGGTCGCCTGAGGAGACTGTGTGCAGACTGCAACAGGGAAAGGTCAGAGGTCACAGCAAACCACAGAGACTGAATGGACAGATGAGTGTGAGGAGGAGTGGGTGCGGGGGGGTGGGTGGGGAGGGGTGGGTGGGGAGGAGTGGGTGAGGGGGGGTGGGTGGGGAGGGGTGGGTGGGGAGGGGTGGGTGGGGAGGAGTGGGTGAGGAGGGGGGGGTGAGGAGGAGTGAGTGAGTGAGGAGGAGTGGGTGAGGAGGAGGGAGTGAGGAGGAGTGAGTGAGTGAGGAGGAGTGTGTGAGGAGGAGTGGGTGCGGGGGGGTGGGTGGGGAGGGGTGGGTGGGGAGGGGTGGGTGGGGAGGGGTGGGTGGGGAGGAGTGGGTGAGGGGGAGTGGGTGAGGAGGAGTAGGTGAGGAGGAGTGGGTGAGGAGGAGCGGGTGAGGAGGAGTGGGTGCGGGGGGGTGGGGGGGGGGGGGGGGGGGTGGGGGGGGGGGGGGGGGGGAGGAGGAGTGGGTGAGGAGAGTGAATTGTGTCTGTGTCTGTTTCCAGGTGGTTTCTCTGGAAAAGTTCCGTTCTCTGCAGGAGAAACTGTTGCTTCTGGATTATTCCGTCAAGGCCAACGATGGAAACGTCATCACTGCTGTACAGTAGTCCACCTTCATCCAGATTAAACCACATCCGTCTGGGCCACGACCCACATCTAAAATTCAAATCTCTCTTTTAGGTTTTGATATTTTTGAAGAAGACTTTAAGTAAAGGTGAGTCCCAGTCGTGGGTCAGTCCCAGTCGTGGGTCAGTAACAGTCGTGGGTCAGTTTTTGTGTCTTGTTTCCAGAGATTTTGTTTCAAGAGCTCCAGTCCAGACAAACAGCTCTAAGACATTTCATCAACTTCCTGTATGAGACTGAAGAAAGTGGGCTGCTGCTGGAGCTCCTCAGGTACCAGTCCAGTCTGAACCAGTCTGAACCAGTCTCCAATGTTCCCTTTGACTGTCTCCCTGGTTTGTCCTCAGGTCTCTGGGCAGGACAGAGGATGCAGCGGTTTGTGCAATCTCTAGTACATGCTAACACTAGCATGCATGCTAACAGATGCTAACTGTGGTGTCACTTCCTCTCAGCTGCTCCAATATAAAGAACACCAGAGTATCAGTGATGAAAGCAGGAGGCGGGACTTCCTGAAGAGCTGCCTGAGGCCAGTCAATCCCATTGGTTTCCTGTCTCAGTGAAACCGTTTCCTGTCGGACTGACATGTATTTCCTGTTTCCTTTCACTGTGAAACTGTTTCCTGTTGGATTCCAGACTACCG